TGTCCCCATGTCCCTCCTGTCCCCATATCCCCATGTATCTGTGTCCCATGTCCTCATGTTCCCACATCACCATTATCTGTGTCCCCATGTCCCCATATATCTGTGTCCCCATGTCCCCATGTATCTGTGTCCCCATGTGCTCATGTCCCATGTATCTCCATGTCCCTATGTCCCTGTGTCCCCATGTCTCCATGTCCTCATAGCCCCATGTCCCCATATATCTGTGTCCCCATATCCCCATGTATCTCCGTGTCCCTGTGTCCCCATGTCCCTATATCCTGTGCCCCTGTGTGTTCCATGTCTTTGTGCCACCACCACCCCCTGTCCCTGTGCCCCATATCCCCCTATAGCTCCACATCTTTGTGCCCCATGTCCCCATGTCCCCATGCCCCTGTGGCCCCCCACGCCCTCATGTTCCCACACCACAGTGTCCCATGCCCCCACCTTCCCATGTTCCTGTGTCCCCATGCCACCTCCGTGTCCCCCCGCCCCCGTTTCCTCATGGCTCCACGTGTCACATCCCTCTACAGCTCCATGTCCTCCATGTCAACGCGCTCGCTGTCGCCACGCCACAACATCCCACGTCCCATCTATGTGTCCCACATCCCCGTGTCCCCACACCACGTCCCCATGCTCCACGTGCCACCACGTCCCCTCGTGTCCCTTTGCACCCCCACCCCACGGCCCCAGCATCCCCGTCCCTGCGTCCCACCCCTCCACGCCCCCATTGCCCCGTGCCCCCCATCGCCCTGTGTCCCCACACCCGCATCCCCTCCCCAGTTGTCCCCAACACCCCGGATCCCAAATCCCTCGCTCCCCTCTGACCCCCCACCCCTCAGCATCCCCACTCTTTCCCCCCCCCTCCCCATCCCGCAGGTCTTCCGCCGTGACGCCTACCTGTGCGGGGGCCGCGGGGAGCTGCTGGGGGGGCTGGAGGATTTCCTGGAGGCCAGCATCGTTCTGCCGCCCCGCGAGGCGCCCAGCGAGCAGCACCTGCGCGCCCTGATCCCACTGCAGCGCCAGCTGCTCCGCCGCCGCCACCGGCACCCCGACACCACGCACGGCCACGGCGTCCCCAAAGACGCAGGTCCGCCCCCCCCCCCTTTTACCCCCGCGGTCCCCCCCCCCCCCTTCCCCCGAGGTCCCTTTTTAGGGGACGTCCTCGCTGTCCACCTTCCCCCGAGGTCCCTTTGGTTGAAGGGAAATCCCGGCTGTCCGCAGGGATTAAGGATCAGGCTCCGGAGGACGACGACCCGCTGCTCCGGACGGGGCGGCCGTTTGGGGGGCTGCTGCGGGACATCCGCCGCCGTTACCCCAAATACCTCAGCGACATCAGGGACGCGCTCAGCCCGCAGTGCCTGGCTGCCGTCATCTTCATCTACTTCGCAGCCCTGTCACCCGCTGTCACCTTCGGAGGCTTGCTGGGTAACGCGGGGACACGGGGAGCCGTCCTGCGAGGCACCTGCAGCGCCATCCTGGGGACTCCTGCGTCCCCGTTCCCCAGTGTCCCCACATCTGCGTGTCCCCACGTCTCTACGTCCTCATCCCCCCTGTATCCCTGTACGCCGTGTCCCCGCGTCCCCATCCCCAGTGTCCCCACGTCCTTGTGCCCTCATACCCACGTCCCCTCTGAATGCCCCCACATCCCTGTGTGCCCATTCTCCATGTCCCCAGATCCCTACATCCCCATGTCCCCATGTCCCCATGTCTCTGTCTCCCCATATCCTCGTGTCCTGTCTCTATATCTCCATGCACCAGTGGTCTATGTCCCCATGTCCCTGTGTCCCTCTGCCCCTACATCCCCATGTCCCCAAGCCCCCATGCCCCCATGTCCCCACTTGCACATCCCCATGTGTTCCATGTCCCCGTGCCACCCCACGTCCCTGTGCCCCATGTCCCTCCATACACCCATGTCCCCACACACCGGTGTCTCCACGCCCTGTGTCCCTCTACAGGTGCTCATGTCTCCCTGTCCCCATGTCCCCGTGCTCTCATGCCCCCATGTCCCCATGTGCCTCTGTTTCCATGTCCCCATGTCCCCGTGATCCCATGTTTCCACATCCCCACATCCCCACACCTCAGTGATCCATGTCCCCATGTCCTCTTATCCCCCTGTCCACATGTCCCCATGTCCCTGTGTCCCCATGTCCCTGTGTCCCCATGTCCTTGTGTCCCTATATCTCCATGCCCCAGTGCTCCATATCCCCATGTCCATACACCCCCCTGCCCCCCCTGCCCCCCATGTCCCCATGTCCCTGTGTCCCTATGTCCCCATGTCCCTACACAGTGTCCAATGTCCCTGTGTCCCCATGTCACCATGTCCTCACTTCCCTATATTCCCATGCCCCACATGTCCCTGTGTCCCTGTGTCCCTATATCCCTATGTCCCCATATCCCCACACCTCAGTGTCCCATGTCCCCATGTCCCTGTGTCCCCGTGTCCCCACGTCCCCACATCCCCATGCCCCCCATGTCCCCATGTCTCTGTGTCCCCATGTCCTTGTGTCCTGTCCCTATAACTCCATGTGCCAGTGGTCCATGTCCACATGTCCCCATGTCCCCATGTCCCCGTGTCCCTACATCCCCATGTCCCCATGTCCCCAAGCCCCCCATGTCCCCATGTTTCAGTGTCCCTACATCCCCATGTCCCCATGCCCCCCATGTCCCCATGTCTCTGTATCCCCATATCCTCGTGTCCTGTCCCTATATCTCCATGTGCCAGTGGTCTATGTCCCCATATCCCTGTGTCCCAGTGTCCCTACATCCCCATGTCCCCATGTCCCTGTGTCCCTACATCCCCACCCCCCACATCCCCACATTCACAGCCCCCCCCAGGAACCTCCATCTGTCTGTTCCGAGCATTTTGGGGTGGTGGGGGGGGGGCTGGGCTGGGGGTTGGGGCTCCACCTGCATCCCCCCCCCCAAATGACACCCAGCTGTGTCCCCAGGTGAGAAGACCCGCGGGATGATGGGGGTTTCGGAGCTGCTGGTCTCCACCTGCGTGCAGTGTTTGCTCTTCAGCCTGCTCAGCGCCCAGCCTCTGCTCGTCGTCGGCTTCTCAGGGCCGCTGCTGGTCTTTGAGGAGGCTTTCTACTCGGTGGGCCCCCAGCTGGGGGAGGGGGGGGCACAATTTGGGGGGGGGGGGGCCTTGGGGGGTGGCAGAGGTGCGACGTCATGGAGGACGGTGGCGCTTTTGGGGTGGCACAGAGGGAATGGCGCTTATGGGGATGGCACCTTTGGGGTGGCACAGCTGTGATGCCACATAGGAGGATGGCACTTTTTGGGATGGAATTTTGGGGGTGGCACTTATGGGGATGGCACCTTTGGGTGGCACATAGGGACTGGCACTGATGGGGTGGCATATATGTAATGGCACCTTTGGGGTGGCACAGGGCTGATGCCATGTAGGGGGGG